TAGAACTCAAACAAGGTCTTATATATCGTCGCGAAGTTCATTTTCTTCAGACAAAAAAAATGATTTTGTCAAACAAAGGCGGCAACATTCTATGACTCAGATGCAATTTGCCAGACGACTGCTAATACTGTTTAGCACAAACATCTTTTTGTCTAAGCAAATCTACTTCTCTCGTCATAGACCTCGAATGAGAAAAACGTCATTTGCTCGATTGTCCATGTGATGAAAGGAATGCGACTCTCAAGTTGATCACAGTTTAATTTCATTTAGGTTTTGCTGTCGCAAATAGATTTTTAAAAGGGATAGTATGCTGTTTTTTGATTTGTCGAATTCTCCATTTCTGAGTATCCACGTATGTTGAGCAAATCATCATCCAAGCTTGTCTGCAGTTCAGACTCGCGTTTTGGATTCACAAAAACATGTTTACATTGCACTAACGTAGGGTTGATCTTTTGGTAGAATTGCAGAGGAAAAATTTGACGCTTCATAAAAGTGAACAGCACCTCCTAGACGATCTCAGGAAATGTTCGCAGCAAACATAATTATTACGCGGTAACTTTAATGTTAATCGCGATTACCATAGAATAAAGTGGATCTTCAAGTAGAACATTTATTATGGATAGAAGTATAAATTTAAACTAACACTTTTGTCGTATAACTTCCCCTTTTTTAATTCCAATCAATGAAGTAAGTTGTGTCACCTGTATCGGATAAGTTGAAGCGGTTTTAAGCTCGTAAAAATCCGAAACATCAAGACTTTCGCAACTTATGTCCACATATGAACTAAATATGATCTTACATATCCCTAGAAAAGTTAGGTCTTGCACAAGATATAATGGTCGTTATTTAGTGCGGGCATAGTTTTACCTAATTAAGAATCATGGGTGAGTGTTTCAAAGCAGGCAAAGGAGCCATTCCGACAGCTGCTGTTTTTGCAACTGCGGCATTTTTGCATCCGCCAATTTTTTGGTGAGTTCATGACACGCTGTTTACAAGTATCATGTCCGCAGCTTACAGTAATGACTTATAGGCAGTCCATGGATACGTCAAAATCAGAGAATTAAAACATGTAGTGAGGTTGTTTGATGTGTGAATATATGTATCATATCCCCTTTGCATAGCAGGGCCATTTAGAGTAGCACGCAAAACCACATCGCTATATCAGGCACTTGATTTTGATATTTTATCATCTATCCACCATCCTGCACTATCAATACTAATTATTCATTCTATTTTATCCTATGGTATTGCTCCGCAGGGGTCATTCTGCGCTTTTTTGAATTTTTTTTATGGGAGTTGTTACTTGTGGGGAACCTCTGCCTTGTCTTAAAGGTTTTGAATTCATTCTTTTAGATCATTTTTTACCGCCCTTTAGCATTACAGTTCTTTCTGAACTTGTAGTGAAGAAGTAGTCGAATTTGCTCGGAAGGAAAACAATTTTTTCAACCAAACATGACGTGAGGCTGAGAAAAAATCTTTGGAAAAAAACCAACAAAAAGTAGACAGACCAAGTGCGCTTCAAATAGCAAGTTCCTGAACTAAAAAAATGGCAAGATGCCAAAAATGACGTTTACATGAATAAATGATTTGAAAGATAATTCTCTCAAGAATGTAAAGCACCCTTCCCGTCTTAGTTATTTTAGTTATTCTAGAATTGATCGAAAAAGGTTGAACTGAACAAATAAAGCCAAATTTAAACCTAAAGTGGGGTACTGTGTGAGGAAGTGGTATGATATTCATTGTATTAGATAACTTTAACAGGCAAAGTCTTTGTGAACTTCAGGTCCGAGATTAAAATATAAGGTGACGAAACGGGTTTTTAGCCTCAAATCGACCGAAACCCAATTGACTGGGCGCGCTTACGTACTTTTATAAAAAAGGATTATTTCAGAATG